AGCCTAACCCTAATCCTAAGCCTAACCCTAACCCTAAGCCTAACCCTAACCCTAAGCCTAACCCTAAGCCTAAGCCTAAGCCTAACCCTAACCCTAACACCTAACCCTAACCCTAACCCTAAACCTGACCCTGACCCTGACCCTAACCCTAACCCTAACCCTAACCCTAACACTAACACTAACCCTAACCCTAATCCTAACCCCTAACCCTAACCCTAACCCTAACCCTAACCCTAACCCTAACCCTAACCCTAACCCTAACCCTAACCCTAACCCACATGTTCCTGCCATGGCAGGGGTGAGATGAACCCAAAGGTGCCTCCAGCCCAAACCAGCCCCCGGGTTTGGGATCTCTGGTGGACGCAGGGACCAGCGCGGGGAATTGTGTTAATTCTGGATGAGGCATCTGGAGTCGCGGCTCCCACCGCGCCCAGGGGAGCAGAGCTGGGAGAGAATTCCAGCTGGATTTCCTGGGGGTGCCTCAGAGCCTTTTACCTTGAGGACGAGCACGGCCACGAAGGCGATGGTGAAGGTGATCATCACTTTGGCGTATTCCTCTGCTGGCAGCGACTCCAGGACTGGCACAGAGCCCTGCGGGAAAAGGGAGAAGCTCTCAGCCCCAAAGCCTCCTTCCCTCTGCCAGGGGCACCCACAGAGCTTTGGGCAGAGCGAGGAACGAAGGATTTTCACCAGCAGCAGGATCACAGGGATATTGTTTTCTTCCTGCTGTTTCCACTCCTTGGCAAAGCCCTGCTTAAATGAGAACTTTGAAAATTTTAATTTCCGCTTCTGCCACCAGCCTGGGATTTTCCTGCTCTTTTCTCTGGAGGGAGAAACTTGGGCTCATGATCCCAGGGCCTTAAATCTGTGTCTCCATCCTTTTGTAGGAATGTGATGATTCCATCCATTCGTAACATCACCGGGGTGGGATTTATTAAACATGGCTGTTTAATAAAGATGAAATTTGAGGCATTTTCCAGGCTGGCAGCTCCATCTGAATCACTTTGCTCTGCAATTTGCATCCATCAGATTGCTACAAGGAGAAACAGGGTGTGTTTTTAGGGAACATGGGAGCTGTCAGTCAGGAACAGCACTGGGAGAACACGGAAAACCCTTTTGGCTGTCAAAGCAAGCGGTTCTGGGTGTTCCAGAGAGGTCAGAGAAGCTGCACAGCCGTGGAATGGGAATTTACAGGAGTTCCCAGTGTGGAAAATGAGCGGAGTTGGGTCCAGACCTACCCTGCTGTCCCCGGGCTTGAGGCTGAGGTAGGTGGGCACCTCCATGTAGGAGCTGCAGAGGGTGAGGATGCTCAGGCAGAAATCCAGCAGCTGCAGCGCCAGCAGGGGAATCCTGGAGTGGCCCTGCTGAGGGGAACGGGAATTGGGTCACAATCACAGGATTGGGTCACTTCTGCTCGTTATTCACCTTTTACACAGAGCCTGTGGCTGGTTCACACAGTCTAAGCCGCTGAATTCCCTTAAATTCACCCCAAACCTTCCCTTCAGCTGGCCCAAAGAGTGAGCAAACCGTCTGTGGGACCCTGTCCGAGCTCCACAGAAACCTCTGGCCGGAGCAGTGACAATCCCAGTTTATCTCAGCCAGAGCCACCTCCCTCAAAGCCAGGAGAAAATCCACATTCCAAGACAAGGGGGAATAAATAATCCCAGCTGCCACTGGTTGCCTTCAGCCTCCAAGGATTGCATCCTGTCTCCAGCCTGGAGAAACCTCCTTGCATCTGGATTCAGGATCATCCCTAAAGTCTTTTCCAAATGAAAGGATTCCATGACAAACCAGAGGCCAGGACAGCAATCCTTTATCACAACCTCCCAGGATTCCAAAGGTCTTTTCCATCCTAAATTATTCCCACTCCATCCAGCAATCCTTTGCTCCAGCCTGAATTCCATGGATCCCATGATTCCATGGAGAACCACCCCATCCAGCGATCCTCCATCCCACGCATTCCCCACCTCTGGAAAGGCAGGAGCCCCGGGAGGAGGAGCTGTCACCCACCGTGTGGCCCAGGGAGGACACGGAGATGATCACGGGCACCTGGATGTAGGAGCTGAACATGGTCAGGAGGCTGAGGAGGAAATCAATGACTTGCAGGGCCAGGAAGGGGATCAGGAGCCGCTCCCTCTCCTGAGGAGGAGAAGCAGTGCCGGTTATTTTCATTCCAAGTGGGAAATGAGACCCGCTGGCAACGCCTGGAAGGACTTAGATGGTGCTCCAAGAATTAACACTCCCCTAGAATTTCTGACTTCAGTGACGACTGATCCAGAGAAAACAGAGCATCAATGCTGATTTTTTTCACCCCTTTGGAAAATTCCTGTGAATTCTCGCTCCGTGACATTGGCACTTCCCATCAGAGCTGTCATCCCACTGTCCCTAAAATTCACCTCTGCAGAGGGAGAACTGGGTTATTTGGGCGATATTTAATCCTTAGAACTCTGCCAGATTCCTGGGGTTTCCACCCCAAGGCCGGGTGATTCCTCCTCCTGAACTGGGAAATCAGTCCCTGGTGCAACAGGGCAGTGACACTTCTCTAACAGGACCTGACTTGCAACAGAGCACGGAAATGAGGCAAGAAAACCTTTCTAAATCATAAAATCTCCTTCATTTAACACCAAACCTAGCCTGGATGGAAACGTTGCCCAGATTTGGTAAATCTGGGTGTTTGAAGCTTTTCACAAGAACCTGAGGCTTCAAACCAGTCCCTCTTTCTCTCTGGGTCCAGGAGACTTTTTTATTTGCCTTTTTTCCTGTGGGATTCTGGAATTCTGGGATTTTTATCTGCTTTTTCCCCCTGTTTGATTCTGGGATTTTTATCTGCCTTTTTTTTTGCCTTTTTTCCTGTGGGATTCTGGGATCCTGGAATTTTTATTTGCCTTTTTTCCTCTGGGATTCTGGGATTTTTATCTGTCTTTTCCCCCTGTTTGATTCTGGAATTTTTATCTGCCTTTTTTTTTCCTGTGTGATTTTGGAGGTTTTCCTGCTTTTTTTGACCATAATTCCAGTGAGCACCAAATGATAAAAGGAATCACCACATCACCAAAAGCTGTCCCAACTCCATCACACCCCTAAGGGACAGTTCAGCCTGGCACAAAGAGTTGAGTCTGTGGAGGAATTAATGCCATGCAGCTGGAATTAACCCTTTTTCCCCTTTTTACACCCAT